TGTGCCGACAACCAAAATGCGGACACTAAATCCAAACGATTGACATCTCGTGCGGATATATGCATCAACATTGAGGACATTAATGACAATCCCCCACAGTTTGCCTCCAGTGTATACACTTTCAAAGTTGCAGAAAATCTCCCTTCGAACAAGAGCACCAATAGAATTGGACATTTCATAGGGAAGATTCAGGCTACGGATCGTGATACTGGTCCAAATGCCAGAATTCAGTACTCTGTCTCACAGAATGCCAAAGGAATTGTGGAAATAGACGCGACTAATGGAAGTCTTTATCTTATCACCCCATTTGATAGGGAGAAAACAAGACAATTTGTGTTTACAGTTATTGCAACAGATCAGGCAGAGGGAAACCACACCACCTACAGTAAGTTATCAGGTAGTGCTGAGGTGAGAATAATCGTAACGGATATGAACGATTGTCAACCAGAATTTGAGTCAGCAAACTACAATTTCGAGGTGGAGGAGAATGTAGAACTGGCAGAGGTAGGAAGAGTCAAAGCCACAGATGCAGACACGGGTGATTACGGTCGAGTTCGATATAGCCTTGCTGTTGATGAGCATCAAACTGGCGGATCCAACCATTCATACAGACCAAACGGCAATTCTATGATAACCAGTTTATTCCAAATAGACCCACGAATGGGGATTATTCGTTTGAGAGGCCATTTGGATAGAGAAAAGCGTGTTCACTATGAGTTTCTTGTCCATGCAGTGGATAACGTCCCATTGAATACTGAAAGTCCATCAGGCCACTCAGGCGTTCGTTTCACAGCAACGGCTACAGTTCTAGTTGTGGTGTTGGACCAGAATGACAACCCTCCTCAAATCCAGTCTCCCAGAAATCTGGCTGAATTTATGCTCAGTCCTGACCAGATGGTAGCTGGAACAACCATATTTACCATCGATGCTGCTGACAATGATCAAGGAGAAAATGCCACCATCGAATACGAATTGATGATTCCTGAAGTGCCTCCCGAGAATTCATCAGATTTGGCAACAACAACAAGGGTGGCCAAGAACTTTCCCTTTGCCATCGACCAGACAACAGGAGTATGCTACCTCAAACAAAATCTACCTCCCATTGGAAGTGACGGCTCGAATATATACGTTTTCAGAGTGAAAGCTTACGATCTGGGAACTCCAAGCAGCCTGAACTCCACTGTAACCGTGAGAATAGTACGAGGGAACAAAGCTCTCAGTGGAAGTTATACAGACCCATTTCTGATCAATAATGGGTATAGGAGTGAAGGAGTGGTGAAGGTTGGAGGTACAGGAGGACACTATTCAGGAGGAGAATGGTTGGGAGATTGGGGAGCAGATACGGGTGGTGTGCCTAACAAAACTCTAGCGATTATTGTTGCTGCAGTATTTGCAGTGATAATTCTCCTCACAATTTTGATATTTGTCTACTTCCGACACCAGAAGTCCTTTAGTACCCGGACAATTATTAATGGAGTACTTGGTAGCCAACCTCCAAACAAATGTAGGGAAGGATACATTGCTGGTGAGTTCAAATTTTCAATTTTCGATTTGTTTATGCATATTTTTAAAAAAATATAAAACAATTGTTGGATTTTTTAAATAATTTTTATATCTATTTGTGATTGTCGATTTTTGTTATAATTGAGGAATGATAATTAAATTTGCAAAACTCTTTTGTTTTGTGAATTTAATTTGTTTGTGTCATTAAAATTAGAGTCTTATTTAGACCATTTGGAAGCAATTTTTTTAACGTAGAACGTTTAATTAGGAAAGGCATGAATATGTTCAACAAAAGAGAGAAAAATCATCTTATAGCATTTTTCGGATGGAAAATGTTTTGTGAATAATAAAACCTAACAAATCGATAGTTTTTACAAATAAAATATCGTTTTCAATTTTCTTCTCAACTTTCTCCAACGGCTGGATAAATTTTATGTGATTTTTATTATTTTAAATGTGCTGTTTCTACTCGCTTTGCTTAATTTCCAATCATTCAAGAAATGGGGATTTTATTTAAAAATGGACCAAAATTCATGGTTTTTGACGCAGCCAGCTCAAATAAACTTAAAAAATTTTCTAAACGCAAATTAAATTGTCTAGGAATTAACTTACATAGATTTTTCCTCTTTCCAACTAAGTCTTCTTAAACCTACTAATAAAATAGACCGATTCCCATATTCATTCACCTTAGTTACGATGAGAATTAGTCTTATAAACCAACTGGCGGCTAATTTCTGTAACACGTTACGTTTTTATGGTCTGGGCTAGAAACACAGCAGTCGAGGAAAAGGATAAACACACCTATTACGCAATCATTTGTGCCGTATGCTACGGCAAGGGAGCACGTTCGTTCCATGTTCGAGCTGGACCCTTCTTTCAGTCTGATTGCTTCGAACAGGCGCTCGGATATTTCAGGACACTCGTAGTTGAGGGAGAAAGGACTGCCTAGATGGGGTGGGTTGGGGGTAGGGGAGGAGAAAACCAAGAAATGGTGTAAGGAGGGGGGGGGGGTGGAGGCTGGAAGAAAGATGTTACAAAGTACATGTGGCTATGTTTGCTTAAAGGCACGTAAATTTTCGGTTATATCGCAATATGTCACTGAAAGGTTTGGGGGGGGGGAGAGGTGGAAAAGGGGGGGGGGTCTTGACAAATCTGCTTATAAGTGTCTGCAGGACGAGACATTCGGAAATGATTTTTCAAGGAAAAGAAATACCTTTTTATTCTCCCACTCTCCCTCACCTTGTAGAATAAATCAAACACTGAGTGGCTGTTCTAAAATAAAATTTATCACACTTGTCACAATTTGACTAAGCGGCTTAAGTTCTGTGTGTCTGAAGGTAGAAAGAATTGTTTTTTCAGGCAATTATTTTGCAAGGATTTCCATTGGTGGCCATCAATATTGAGAACGTTTCTAATATATATATGTATATGTGTGTGTGTATTTGCGAGTTGAATGGGAAAAGTAATTATATCGGAATGAAGTAGTCATCATGATATTTCCTCTTCCTATTCCCCAATCTTTTTGGAATTAGTTTTCCTCAGTTTAAATGTTATTTTTGGTACCCAGTAAATAGTTTCCATTTTATTTTTAAAATCTTTTTTTCACTCAGAGTGCCAAATCTTTCGTTCACTCGAATTATTACTTTCTTTTAAACGTCTTATAATGAGATAGTTTTGGTCTTTTGCACTTTCTCATTTTACATGATTTGAAAACATTTTTATTCCTTTTTATAAAACGGCGAGAAATAGGCAGTCTACACAATTTTAGCCTCAAACAATATTAGTTTCGAGCACTCAGTGAATTGCTTGCAGCTAAAATTACTTCAATGAACATGTTTATATCATTTAATACAGGAAATTACACAAAAAGCCGTATAGAAAGATTTTTTTCTCGCTTTTAACGTTTTCGGTTGCCTATTAAAAAACCACATTTTATTTGATCAAATTTATCTGAAAATCGCCTCGGTTGTCGGTAAGGCTAGTAATTTGCCAAATGCTGTTAGTCATCCCAATATTAGATGTGTGATCGATATGCGATTAAAGGTACCAATTATTCTGACATTTCATCCAGGTGAAATCAAAGTTTGATGGTTAGGCTTCACCCTTCTTAACCTGAATGATTTAATGCAATCAGTTAATCCATTCCTTAACAGTGTACTTCGTGTGCAGATATAATTCAATTAGACTAAATCCTAGTTCCAAACTCTACATTTCTATGAAATAAACTGAAAAATGTTGGAGTATGTATGATAGGACCCAAGATATTGAGCAAAAAATAGATATGCGTCAAACAAACATATTCATTTTTATGCCAAACCAAGCCAGATTTTTTCTTTGAATTAGTGCTGAAAGGTTGTGGGAGTAATCGACGAAGAGAAGTTGATTAAAAAGTACAGACGAGCTAAAAAACACCTCTTTTTGTACGATACATCAACAATACTAACTCATGACTTATTGTGAAAAGCAGTCACGAGAATGATTCAAATACAGTACAAAATATAATCCAATGACCATAAATTAAACGAGTTTCATTGAAAATGACTCCTAAGACACATTGGACAGTCGTTTAGCTTCTTTTAGTTTTTAAACCTCAATTACAAGTTCTTGTGCCATAAGAAATTTTCGGTTTTTTCATAATCAGCCTTGAAAATGTCTAGAAAAATAATTTATTTAATTTTTGGAAATTTTAATTCCGTTCAAATTGACACCTTTTAATTTGTTATTTATGTTGAAATACTTGGTAGTTTATTATCTTTGCGTAATGATGACGCCAGAGTCATGTGATTGATGCAAATATTACAAAATTAATAAACAATAGGCCATTTAATGACTACATTGGGGGTAAACGGTCGACAATAAATGAATTTGTAACTATATTTTTATAACTTGATTTTATTATAAAAGGATTGGCAAATAGTATATCTCCTCAGCTACAGTCTGAAATCATTGACGAAACAAAAGGCGAATTGAGAAGACATGAAAATATTGAAAAAACTCACTTCATCTGAGTTTTATTCTCGTTTTACAATGCCCGATTAGCCTTTAATTCGTCCCTCCCCCTCGCTTCGAAATTAAAACTCCGTTTTTATTCCTGTGGAGTATTGTGGGTGTTTTCGTTCACAATTTTCGTGGCTCATCGATAAATTAATTAAATAGGCCTCTCGGTTTTGCCACTTCAATCACTGTCTCCGTCAATGAAGAGTGATCTTACGTATTTATTTATTTATTTATTTTAAACCAACCCTTCTCTCCCCCCCTCCCCTACCCCCAAAGATTCACTCGAGCAATAGACAACCCAAATTACAAAATCAATGTAACATGGTGCCCATTTTTGGCTCTCATGGTGAGTCAATTCAAAATGTTGAATTTCGAGGGAGAGTACAGCTGAATGGTGCTTAGATCTATCTAACAAGCAGCCTGAATTTAGTTGTTTATAGAGCCATATCGGCATATCTATTTCTTCAGATTTTCCCCGAAAATCTAACATGAAACCCTTTAAATCACTTTCTAAACTTCTATTTGAGAGCTAGACAACAGTGCCACTATCGCATGGTAACTTTGGGGGGAGGGGGGGGGGGGGGGGGGGGCATTTCAAGGCTGTATTTTGTAAATTAAACAACGAATATAATTACACCTCGTTTTTAGCAGTCTTCTGCATGAATCAATTTGCAATTGTTCAGCCTAATTTAAAGTATATGTTGCCGTTAATGCAAAGTTAGACATTTCTTTGCAGACAAATGTTGTGACCACCTTCCAATTGAACCGATGGAAGATTGTGATTTGACATTTTATTCTGCCTGAAGGGGGGGGGGTCTTCTGTTGCACCGGAGTGGTGAATGGCACAGAGCTTTCATAAAGATACATGATTAATGCCACCGAAACGAAGATAATAAGCTTATTCACTTTTGAAGTACTAGTATTATTATGTAAGAACTTTGTTTTAATAAATATACCTTCCATATTGGAAGCAGTAAATCAAATGACATCAAAATGTTGACTTAGAGAAGGAGGAGGAAGGAAAGCATTGCGCACGACATGAATGCGTTTCGTTTTTTTTAAAATCTAAATTTATTTCCTTCGATTAATATAAGCAAAACTCTATATGAGCTTAAAACTAAGCTCAGCTTTAGGATTAAAACATTAAAATTGTGTTGTAAATTTGACGTAAATTAATTGCAAAGTACGTGGAGACTAATGTGTTTATTTTTGGCCAAAAAGGAATTGATGTTTCAATTATTTGCAGTAAGTGAAATTAACCCATAATTCTCATTTTACGGACAATGCTGACACCTAAATTAATTATGTAAATAGCTAAATTGGTGTGGTAAGTAATAAAATAAAATACTTATTCATTTATATCGAATGGCAGACTTTGTGATAGTTATCATTAGTCCTTTAGTTGATTTCGGGCTTGACAGGAGGAGGAGCATCAAGGTCATAAACAAGTTGAGAGGGAGAACAGAAGAGTGATTCACAGATGTAAAAGA